ATATTTTTTCTATTATACTGAGCAAGACCGGTGTAGTAACCAGCGTGCCAGGTCCGGGCCTGTGTCTCAGTTGGCTTATCCGAGTGGATCCGATCCACCCGGGAAGCCCTCCTAGGATAGGTTCGACCTATCAATTCTGCTGCTACCATGTAGAGTATTGAATGTCATCGGTTTGATTGATAATGAAGTAGGCCTTGCCTAGTATTACAATCATTTGTAGAATTTGCGAAGATGGTGGGAGTTCCAGGTTCTTTCTACCGGGTGTCCCTCTAGATTTTCTAACCGGTAGGTTCCCGGGCGGACAATAGCTCTCACCCGGTACGGGCCTTCCCAGTTTTTGGCCAGTTTTCCTCCATCACCCGGTCTACTAGCCTCTCTTCTTCGTAGGACTTCATCTCCAACTTGGAAGTATCGTGGTCCAACCTTGTTGTCGTGGTACTTCTTCACGACTTGTTGATATGTGCTCATTTTAACTTCCGCGGCCATTCTCCGCTCTTCGACCAAGTTGAGTTCGGCCAAGTGATCCTCCTCATTCTGCTGGGGTTGATAATTTGATTCCCGAAACGTTGGGAATTCAGCTTCGATGGGCAACCTTGCTTCACACCCATAGGTTAGGGAAAATGGAGTTTCCCCATGAGCCCTCCTGGGTGTTACTCGGAACGCCCAGATGATATGTGGGAGTTCCTCCAGCCACTTGTTTCCTGCTTCTCCCAGCCGTTTCTTTAGGCCATCCACAATTGTTCGGTTGGCATTTTCCACTTGGCCATTTCCTTGGGGGTAGGCCACCGAAGAACGGTTGTGCTTAATTCCAAAGCCCTCCAAGTATTCGGTGAATCTTGGATTTCGGAATTGTGGGCCGTTGTCGGTGATTAGGTTCATGGGAGCCCCAAATCTTGTGATGATGTTCTTCCAAATGAATTTTTTGCATTGTTGCATGGTGATGTTGGCCAACGCTTCGGCCTCGATCCATTTGGTGAAGTAATCGATGGCTACGATTACGAACTTCTTTCTCCCCTGGGCTATTAGGAATGCCCCAATGATATCCACCCCGAATCTAGCGAAAGGGATGACATTCGATACGGGGTGATAGTAGGTAGTCGGTCTACCGGGATACTTGTAGAATACTTGGCATGTTCTGCACATCTGGACGTACCTCTCGCAATCCTGGACAATCGTTGGCCAGTAATACCCCAACAAGATGATGCGCTGGGAAAGAGTGCGGGACATTTGATGCGCCGCGCATACACCTTCATGGACTTCTGCCATGACCCGTTCAGCTTCCCGATTGGTTAGGCACCTCAAGAGTGGCCCCCCGAATGCCCTTTTGTACAGCTTCCCATCAAGGACTTGAAACCGGGGTGCCCTGAGCTTCACCTTTCTTGCCCGGTCATCCTGTTCTGGCAAGGTTCCGTCCATCAGGTATTCCATCAGATCATACATCCAGTGGTCATCCGCTCCGACCAAGTTTGACCGGTCAGGTTGGTCTGCTCCTGTTATGGCGGCTACTTCCAATTTCTCGATGCTGGCACGGTCGAGAATTTCCACCCGGGCAAGTTTTGAAACATGCTCGGGAGCGTACTGCGTCAACTTCGAGAGAAGGTCTGCATCCGCTTTTTCCGCCCGGGGGATTTGGGCGATCTTGAATTCCTCGAAACCTTTCAACAAGGCAAGCACCAGGTCCTTGTACTGCGCCATTCGCCCTTCTCTGGCTTCCATGATACCGGTCACTTGTCCAACGATCAAACTCGAATCAGATTTGATACTGACCCGGTCGATCTTCAGGGCTTGGGCAAGTCTGAGCCCTCCAGCCAGAGCTTTGTATTCTGCCTCGTTGTTTGTCAGCATGAAGTTGAAGATGATTGCATGGTAGATCTTGAAACCCTCTGGGGTGGTAAACACTACACCACCCCCGTACCCCTTAGGGCCAGACGCCCCATCTACTGCCATCTCCCACTATTGTTCGGCGGGTTTGTTGACCGGTAGGTCTGGAGTTAGACCGGTCATTTCTACCAAGAAATCTGCAAGGGCCTGTCCTTTGATCGCTGACCTTGGCCGGTACTCAATGTTGAATTGAGTTAACATCATCGCCCACTTCACCATCCTCCCGGAGGATGTTGAATTTCGCAACACTGCACCCAGCGGTTGGTCAGTCAAGACTTCTACCGGGTGAGCTTGGAAGTAAGATGTTAACTTTTTTGCGGAGATGAAAAGCGCGTAGGCTGTCTTCTCCATTGCTGTGTATCTACTTTCTGCTCCGTTTAGTGCTTTGCTCACATAATAAATAGGCTTTTGCGCCCCATCATCTCTTATTAAAACAGAGCTTACAGCATTTGGGGAAATTCCCAGGTACAGATACAGAGTTTCACCCGGCTGGGGTTTAGACAATACAATATCTGACACTAGGTATTCTTTCAGCTCGTCGAATGCCCTCTGGCACTCTTCGTCCCATGCAAAAGTGTTGGCCTTCTTCAGGACTTTAAAGAAAGGCAGGGACCTCTCAGCTGACCGGGAAAGAAACCGGCTGAGGGCCGCTAGACGACCGGTCAGCTTTTGAACATCCCTCACAGATGTGGGGGCCTGCATTTCAGTGATAGCCCGGATTTTTTATGGGTTGGGCTCTATTCCTCTCTTGGTCACCATGAACCCCAAGAACTTCCCGGTACGAACCGCGAAGACACACTTCTTGGGATTCAACCGGAGGTTGTATCTTGCCATGATATCGAATGTGGCGCGCATATCAGCCGGGTGATTGAGAGATACCTGGCTTTTGATTAGCATGTCGTCGACGTATGCCTCCATGGTGTTTCCCAGCAGTGGCTTGAAGAGCTTGTTCACCATGCGCTGGTAGGTCGCCCCCGAATTCTTCAAGCGAAACGCCATTACCCGGTAACAGTAGGTTCCTTCGGGTGTGAGGAATGACGTCTTCTCTTCATCCTCCTTGGCCATGTATATTTGGTGGTAGCCCTTGAAGGCATCCATGAAACTTAAGAGTTCGCACCCCGCAGTTTCGTCCACCATTTGATCAGGACTGGGGAGGGGGTATGAATCCATCGGACATGCCTTGTTCAAGTCCGTGTAGTCCACACACATTCTCCATGTGTCCCCCTTGGGAGCAAGGACCACGTTGGCCAGCCAATCCGGGTATTTGACCTCCCGGATGTGGCCGACACTGAGGAGGTCCTTCACCTCCTTCTTGACGAAATCTCGCCGGTCACTGGCCAGGTACCTTTTCTTCTGGCGTACCGGTCGACTTCCATCTCTCACTGCCAGCCGATGGCAGATGATTGAGCGGTCTATCCCGGGCATATCCGCCACGCTCCAGGCGAATATGCCCGCGTACTCTTGGAGGACCCGCGTGATCTCTGCCTTGAGATCTTCAGGGAGGTTCGCCCCAATTCGGACCATCCTTGATGAATCACCCGGGTGGAGTTCGATCTCCACCGTTTCCGCTTCAGGTTCCAGCTTCTCCCGGGTTTCGCCCTTCGCGATCTCCGGGAGATGACGTTGACCCCCTTAGTCATCTTTTTAACCGCCCGGGCATAGCACTCCCGGGCATTCCTCTGGTCGCCCCTCACTTCTCCCACACCGCCTGGAGTGTGGAACCTCATGCATAGGTGAGGCATGGAAATCACCGCCCCAACCTTGTTGATGCCAGGCCTTCCAAGGATGGCGTTGTGGACGCATTTGATGTCCACAACAATGAACCGCATCTTCTTCCACACGGTCTTTTCGCCCGATCCTAGTTCGACCGGTAGAACTATGGACCCCTCAGCTTCCACTGTGTCTCCCGTGAAACCTGAGAGAGGAGTTTTGAGGGGTTCAAGTTGTGTCCGACACAACCTGAGTTTTCGGAAAGTCTCCAGGTATAGGATGTTGACACTGGTGCCGGTGTCAACAAGTACCCGTGCGACGTCCACCCCATTGATGTCCATGGTAATGACCAATGGATCATTGTGATCTTCACCGGTAGGAGGGAGGTCCCGGTCAGTGAAGACTATTGGCTCCCTCTTAGGGTACTTACGCCTGGCCGGTTCGGCACTTACCTCTCCCACGTAAATGCTGCGAACCCAGTTTTTTCGCTGCGCGGCTGAATCTCCGCCCTCAGGTCCGCCAAAGATCATCCCAATATGCTCTTTGTCAGGGGCAGGCTGTTGCTCCCTCTGCCGGTTATTCCTCCGCCGGTCATTGTCCCGGTCATTTCCCTGGGTCGTTGGCCTTACCCATTGATGGTTCTTCTCCTGGGCTTTCTGCAGATAATCCTTGCCCAGTTCTCCGCTGTCTATCATCTGCCGGATTACCCCCTTAACACTCTTGCATTCGGAAGTGCTATGGGAATCTGACCTGTGGTATGAACAATAGGTGCCCGACCACTGACGCCCAGATTGACCGGTAGGATTGTCCGGAGGATTGACCGGTGCTTTCCTGATCTCCTGGCATTTTTCTGAATTGACCACTCGGACTACCGGGTCATAGTGGTGCCTTGGCCGGCTGGGTACCGGCACTTCTTCCTTCTTGACTTGCACCGGCTTGGGCTTGTAACTATGCTCGGCTTCTTTCTTCGCCGGGAGTTGAGTCTCAGCCTCGGCGAACTCCCATGCAGTATGGTACGCTTCCTGATACGTGGCCGGGGGTTTCCGGCAGAACTCATTGTAAAGTTCCCCAGCTCGCAAACCACTCAGGAGGAGGGACAACACTGTCTTGTCATCCATCTCCTCAACCTTGTCTACCTCCTCCTTCCACCGGGTAAGGAATTGGGTGAGGTTCTCAGATTCCCTCTGCCCGGCTGTACTAAGATAGGTGAATTTCTTTCTCTTGGTACAGTTCTCCTGGAACTTGGCCTTGAACTTCGAGGCCAAGTCGCTAAATGAGTCAATGCTTCCCGGGCGAAGCTTGTTGAACCACTCGGTGGCTCGATTCCGCAAGGTCTGGAAGAAAAAGAGGCACTTTTCTTCATCTGTGCAACCGTTCATGGTTGCACTCTGATTGAAGGAATCCAGGTGGATTTCTGGATTTCTTGGGGCGTCTATCTTAACCTTTCGCGGGAAAGGTGTCAGATGGACCCTTGTAGTGAACGGGGACCCCCTGAGGGGTTTGTCCCGGTCATTCTTCTCCCCAACCTTCTTATCCAGCCTCTCCAACTTTGCCTCCATCTGTTGGACGCGATCATTGGGGGTGGTTAACCGATTAGCCACCGGCACCCTAGACTGGCTTTTTGCTTCTTCTTCCTGGCGAGAGGCCCTCGTCCTGGCTGGCTCCTGTCGGTTTGACCGGGAGCGTAGGGTGCGGGCAGGCTCAGCCTCCCTCATCTCACCTAACCGGGCGAACGCGCTGACATGGGCCACGCTCTGCCCCAGCCTCAGCTTGGCTGATTTTCTCTGGCCCTCCTCCCTATCCCCCAGCCTTTCGAAGGCGGAGTTTCGGGAGGTGGCGGGTCGGATGGTTTTTCCCTTCTTTTTCTTGTGGGTCCTTGGAATGTCCCACTCGTCGTCTCCGCTTTCAACCGAGACGCAGTGACCATCCGGAGTGATTAGCGAATTCGTACCTTGCGGGGGACGCGATGGCCCTGCGGCGTTAAGCGCACCAGTCAAGTTGATGGGGGCCACAGCGCTGACTAGCTGCGGCTGGAAAGGTGATGGTTGCGGCACTGGCGTTTGGAAGGGAGACACCGCCATTGGAGCTTGTAGGGGCATGGTTCCCGCGCCTGAAAGAGCGAACGGAAACATACCAGGGAGGAAAGGCATTCCCCCATTCTGTTGGCACATGGCCATGACCTGGCCAAAGCCCTGGATGGCTTGTAAGTTGGCTGGGTCATTCATGAACTGGGTCATGCTTGGTGGAAAGGTGACCCTTGGCCCGGCGGAAGGGACGGGGGCCGTGAATGGGCTGACCATGCTAGGTGTTGGGACCGAGCTTAGTCCCAACGGCAAAACTGGAGCAGAAACGGTCGGCAGGGTAACAGCCATGGGGATGCTGGTACCTTCAGCGGTGGCCTGCACCTGAGCAGTGGTGGCGTTGATTTGCTGGCTGGAAGACATCTTGAGTGGTGTTTTTGTGGGTAGGTTTGTGTTTAGAAAAGAAAAAACCTTAACGGTCCCACGGTCGGCGCCAAAAATGATGGTGTAAATTACTTGACCGGTCAAACTATACTAGACCGGGTCTAGAATAGTTGGCACGATTCAGTAAAGTAAAGAAAGTAAAAACACTCAGAATGACCGGTAGGACTTTAGGTGGAACATCTGTAGCCCGAATTATATTAAAACAGAGAATGCACGGTCACTTTTACAAGGGAGTTTAGAGAGAGTGAATTCGGATCCCTTCTTCGAGGGTCACAAGTGGTATATATACTAAGCTAGGGGGCAGGACCACGTGTGCCCACGTGGGGGCATGCAGCTGGCGTGGTGTGACCTGACTGGTTTCGTCCTTGAGGTGTCCTGTCGCCTTGTGAGGGGAATCACTACCCTTGTCGTGGTCTGGCTTGGAAATGTTCCTTCGGCATCTCTGCAATTCCAACCACTACAGTCCAAGTCTCTCTTGGATTCTCCCTGCCGACACCCATCAATCTTGTGAAAGTACACCGGTTGGTTCTCGAAGGTTGGCAAATTGACTGAAGCCTTAACCGAGGACTACCATTTCATAAAACTGGCCATATGATACCGAAGTACACCGGTCAACTTCGCGGTCAACCAGTCATCATTTTGCCGACGATCCAGATCGCTCTTTTGAGTTCGACTTCTTTGACCGGTCAACTATCCGGTCCTGACCTTTGACCGGTCATGGGTGAAATACACCCATCAGTATATAGTAAGACTAGGAATATACCTCAACTTCTGTATACCAAGTGTACATCAAATATATGACATACATAGACATCTCACATCTGCATCAAATGTCTCTTACAGACACTTGATGTCTGTGTAAAACGCAAACAGTTAATGTTTGTGTGTCTATATATAAGCTGATTTTTTCTTTTAACTTTTCTTCCTATAAAAGAAAAAGATAAATTTAATTTTTGTAGGAAGTGGATTAAAATAATTTTGATCATCAGTTCATCACTTTCCAAGTTACCATTGTTCTCGCGTTGGAAGAGAATTGAAAGTCTTCATATTCTTCTGCAAAAGTCTTGACGACGCACTGTTTCTCTCCATCGCTCTTATGCTGTTTTTCCTCACGTTTTTGATCAAATGGCCTCCAGTACCGGCGTCGGAGACGGCGGTTTCCCGACTCTGGAATCAGTCCGGAAGAGCCTGGTCCGACAGGAGGACACCATCGTTTTCTGCCTCATCGAGAGAGCCAAATTCCCGACCAATTCGCCGCTGTACGATGAACAGTCATCGCCTTCTTCCCCTGCTTCCCGGGTTCCGATGTGGTCCGGTTCCTTGTTCGAGTACATCGTCAGAGAAACCGAAGCTCTTCAATCGAAGGTGCAATTTCTTCTCTTTCTGATGCTATTCTCATCTGCACTAGGAATAATAAGATTTCCATTAGAGGATACCTCAAATTTAATTTTTATGGCCAAATTAATTACTTGATGTTTGTTGTTTCAATATATAACCAAATATCCGGAACAATAATACTGTATCTTTTTAGTAATTCTCAAAAATTTTATCATCCAAATAGATTATCTTGACAAGTAATTTTAGACATCTCAAAAAGAAAAGATGAACCATTAAATTTACCCCAAACAAGTTTGATGGGTTAAATTTAGTTAAAGTAACCATTTAATTTTTAAAACATAACTATATTTGATGATTTCTAATACTCCGTAGTTTGCACCTTGCTAAAAAACATGAAAACATTTGAAGTCCTGAAACAAAGAAAATAGAAAAGATTAAGCTTTGTAGTGTTGAAGACGATACAATATTCCCTTGCACTCATTGAACGTCTGGAAATCTAATACGGAGTATTTGAGTAGTCAGGTAGACCTTAGGACCTTATATTGATTGAGGTTTACCTTAACAGGTCGGAAGATATAAATCCCCAGAGGAAAATCCCTTCTTCCCCAATGACATCCCATCACCATTAGTGCCATCTAGAGAGCATACACAGGTATAAATGCTTATATCTATTCCCTCCTTCTAGTACTTATGTTCCCACTTTGAATTGCAGCATAATTAGGATAGCTAATATTATTTGTTTACTTTTGAAATTTGTCCCTACTTTACTCTTTCATGCTCGCAAAAACAGGGGTGTTAAAGTCTTTGTATGACAACTGCCATCAGTAAAAGAAAAAAATGAGAATTTATTTGGTAGGGGGAACACAAAGGGAGTTACGACTTAAGAATATTGTTTCTTCAACTAATGGAGCTAAAAGAGTTAGTATTGCCAATGGTTTAGTTCTCGGGAACATAATGACAAATTAAACTTTTCTTGCTTCTCAATTCCTATGAAGTTTTTGGATAGTAAATGCAGCAATGCATCTAGGGTCTAACTGAAACAGTCGATGTGTTTATAAGACTACGTGCATCTTGACCCCAGACCCCCAACAGTGCTGGAATTATACTAGGTTCTTGTTTCTTGAACTAATGACACAGTAGTAGTTCTTGCATCCAGTGGCAGATTCTGTGAATGTCAATGAAAAAGTGTGGGATCTGTATTTGAATCAGTTGCTGCCGCTTCTTGCGGTTGAGGGTGACGACGGTAACTATGTGCCCACTGCTGCCGCTGACATACATTGCTTGCAGGTAAGAAACTAAGGGCCTGTTTGGTAAGCGCTGAAATGGTCGAATGAGCTGTTTGAAAGGGAAAAAAATGTTCTTTTGTTTATGTTTGGATGGATGCAGGCACTGTCTAGGAGGATACATTATGGGAAATTTGTTGCCGAGGTTAAGTTCAGGGAAGCTCCTCATGATTATACGCCTGCTATTATTGCCCAGGTATTCTCGAACGGATCACCTCAAAATCAAATGGAAAACAAACATCATTCAGCTAGACCATAACAAACACGAGTTCAATCCATCTGTTAGTCTAATTCGAGTGTCTTTATATGTCTTTCTTTGATGATAAAATTCATCATTGGGACATTGTGACTTGGGCTCTCTTTCTTTTTCCTTGGAGTCTAGATCCTGAGACCTCTGGAACCTAGATTAAATATACTACTCCGTATAAAGTCAAAATAGAATTTAGTTAGAAACTGGTAACTGGAATTTGGACTGCGTTCCGTTCGCCTGATCTGATTTGATCTAATTTGATTTTTTGAACATCTGATCTAATTGCAGTTATAATTAAAGCTGTTTTTGATCTGATCTGGTTATAATAAGAATAAGTGATAAGCAGGAAAAAATAAGTTGAACGGAACGCTGTCTAAGGTCTATTGCTGGAATTTTGAAATCAAGATAATTGGACTAAACTTTGAATTCAATCTCTCAAATAATATGATTTCAAACAATGTAAAGTCATGTGCAGGATAGGGAAGCTCTGATGAAGCTTTTGACATTTGAAGCTGTTGAAGAGATGGTGAAGAAGAGGGTTGAGAAGAAAGGCATGGAGTTCAGCAAAGAGGTTACCGTTAATGGTGGCGGCGCGGTATCAAACTGCAAGATTGACCCGTCGTTGCTCTCTCGGCTTTATGGAGAATGGGTCATCCCTCTAACCAAGCTAGTTGAAGTTGAGTACCTTTTGAGAAGGCTTGATTGAAGACCCCCAAGGGAAACTCTCAAGTCCCAAATGTTTTTGGGGATATTTGGCAAAGTCATTGTTAGCTGTTTGTTGGTTGGGTTTACTCTTTGAATTGGCAGTTTGCCTTGGCTGTTTAACTTGGTTGTTTATAGAGGTTAATCTACTTGAATTATTTACTCCCTCCGTCCCAAAATAAGTTGCGTGTTAAGCATTTACATGGTCAAACTTTATTAATTTATTTTTTCTATTTTCCTCATTTAATTGATAAAAAAATATAGTCATGTCATTTCTTCTTTTATAGAATTTTTTATGTAATTCTTTAATGTGTGATCTTCTCTACATGCCAGGATCATACATTTATAGGAATCTAGAGACTATTCAACAGTGAAAACTTTTCTTTCACATCTCAAGGAGTTGGGGATATGGAAATAGGGGTGGCAATCCGTCGAGTTTTGGTTGGGTGGAGCTTCAATTTCAAGGTTAGGTATAAACTAGTTTCGAAATAGAAAAGAGAGAGAGAGAGAGGCTTTGCGTTGGTAGTTTTGAACAAATTAAGAAGCGTCCGTAATTTAGTAGAGATTTGCTCCTTGATACTCCCTATTTTGAGAAACTATTTGTAGAGTAGTTCACATTTTTAAAATATACTTTGAGATACCCTTTATTTTGAGAAACAACTATCGGGTACCTCACATAATTACATTTTTATTTTACATCAATGTTTAAATAAATAGAGTAAAAACTATCTTCATTTCGAAATATCATAAAAAATACGAAACTTACTCAAAGTATTATTATAAATGAAGTAAAAAATATAATATTAAGAAAGAATACTCTAATAAAAATGAAGATCTTTATTCCATATTTAAAATTTTTCAATGATGGTGAAACAGTAAGGAATGCTTGTGTAAACATAAGAAGTCATGGTGACACATTTGTTTCTAAATTGTATTCAAAAAACGCCACATAAATAATATATACAACATGTCGGCTTTCTAGAGATTTAAATCTTATTTTTATATATAAAGGATATCTAAGTCATACAATATGAATTTAGCTATAAATTTTTATGTGAAAAAATTGCAATTATAATTCATCTTTTACATTTTTAAAATAAAATCGTTTGACAATTCCAGTAAAGTTCAGTTGTAAAATAAATGTGATTTTTTTAATTTTTAAGAAAATAAGTTTTTTTGTGAAACATATCAAATGTGAATTTGGATTTTTTATTTTTGAAAACAATTTTATTTTATTTTCATACTAATTGAATCTATTTTATCCATGTGTTTTTGAACTCTTTTGTTTGAAGTCATGATATTTTTTTGTGTTTTATACTTTTAATTATTTCAGTCTATTTATAATCGATTATTGATGTTAGAATAATCCATGAACTTGAAGAATCTAAACAAATATTGATATAGAAAAATAAAATGTATCTAAATCTATACAACTTCATTTAGAATTAAAATCACTAATGTGATAAGAAAAGACCATTTTGGATAATATTAAACTAGTATCACACCCGTGTGTTGCACGAGTCATTTTTATGTTACTAAATTCAAATCATTTATCAATGATAAAAATGAGATGCAATAAAATATAGAGATTATATTATTTTAAGGTAAAAAACATCATTGTTTTACAAATTTCGAAAGATTTCTTTATAAAATACATTATTGTACAATTTTTGAGAATAATTATAGTATATTTAATTGTAATAGGCTATTATAATTATAATTATAATAAGAAGGGTTAACTTTTATCGAAATTGGGTGTATAATTATTCTTACCATAATTATTTTTTCAAAATTGGGTGTATACTTGTATAACTTACCTTTTTGAATTATTTCCAATTTTCAAAAACTTACTCTTTGCATTTCTATAAATTACCTATATTAAAAACTTACGCTTTGGATTTGTATAACTTACCTTTTTTTAATACGATAATTATTATAACTATAATAATTATATTAACTTATGATGGCTTACAATTTTATATTACTCACGTTAACTATTATAAAAATAATTATATTAACTTCCGATGGTTAAAAATGATAGTTACTTATTCTTACCATAATTTCAGACATTTCCAATCAGTAGTCAAAATAATGTTGGTTAATTATTAGCTTTTTATTCATTGATTCCATATTTATTAAAAACTTACGTTCTGCAATTTTATAACTTACATTTTTTAATTATTTCCAATTTAAAATAAGTTAATTATTATATATATAATAATTATATTAACATCATGCTTACCATTTTATATTACTCATGTTAATTATTATAAAAATAATAGCTATTATTATATTTATAAATTTTTAAATAATTATAAATCCATAATTTTGGTCACTAAACATAATTATTTACTTACCTTTCGGCCATTTTATAATTATTATAAATATAATAATTATAATAATTATTTCTACAATTTCGGCCACAACAATTATTAACTTACCTTTTTAATTAGTTCCAATTTTCAATACATTAATTATTATATTTATACTTTTTTTAATAGTTATAACTTCACAATTTCGGCCACTTACCATTTTAACTTCACAATTATTAACTTACCTTTTGGCCATTTTATAATTATTATAAATATAATATTATAATAATTATTGCTACAATTTCGACCACTACAATTATTAACTTACTTTTTTTAATTATTTACAATTTTCAATACGATAATTATTATATTTATACTTTTTTTATTAATTAGAACTTCACAATTTCGGCTACTTACCATTTTAACTTCACAACTATTAACTTACCTTTCGGCCATTTTATAACTATTATAAATATAATAATTATAATAATTATTACTATAATTTCGGCCACTGCAATTATTGACTTACCTTTCGGTCATTTTGACGTACCTTTATTTAATTATTATAAATATACTAATTATAATAATTATTACTATAATTTCAGCCGCTTACCATTTTAACTTCACAATTGTCATTTATAATTGTCATACTCTTTGGGCGGGAAAACCATATATTGACTACATGTCTTTTTAAATAAAGTATGGATTAATTACCAATTTTCGGTGTCATATTATTTGTTTCTTTTTTAAAATTAATTACCAATTATAAACGATGTCATATTATGTATTCCTTTTTTAAAATGATTACGTGTTAAAACTGGTTATTACCGTGTGATAAAAAAGGAAGAGTATTTATTATAGCTTTTAAACCATTTTTTTAGATTAATAGTAATAATTATTTTTTTCATTAATAATATCACGTTTTTAAAAAGTAAATTTTAAAAATCGGAGATAAAACTGTTCGTATTCAAAAGGAAATTGGGAATTACCTTTTTGAATTATTTCCAATTATCTTTTTTGTGAAATTAGGTGTATAATTGTATAACTTACCTTAAAATTATTTCCAATTATTTTTTTTTTGCGAAATTGGGTGTATAATTGTATAACTTACCTTTTGTAATTATTTCCAATTGGGTGTATAAAAATGACAATTACTGTATTAAAATACTGTGTGATAAAAAAGGAACAAATTTCGAACGCTCTACAGAAAAAAAGAGGTTAAAATAACGTACAAAATTGTATAATTAGAACACTCCGTACGAATTGATAAATTCAATGTGATAAAAAAAGGAATTGTATTTATAGCTTTTAAACCATTTTTTTAGATTAATTTTTTAAGATTATTAATGTTATGTAATAATTATTTTTTAGATATATAATTTCACGTTTTTAAAGGCATTGTGTGCAAAAACTAATATTAATTTTAACTTCATAATAATTAATTTGTCATTTGTAAATGTAATAACGCATGGAAAATTTAACACATGCGCAAGTTTTTAATAATTATTATTATATTTTTGGCAACTTACTATTTTAAATGAACAATTGCCATTTGTTAATGTAATAAAAATTACCATTTTAAGTGAATAATTGCCATTTTTGTAAATGTAATAATGCATGGAGAATTAAGCACATGCGTAAGTTTTTAATATTTATTATTATATTATTTTCAGAAACTTACCATTTTAAGTGAACAATTGCCATTTGTTAATGTAATAACGCATGGGCGGGAAAAACAAAGGTTCACTCCATGTGTTTTTAAATAAAGTATGAATTACCATTTTTAGTTGAGCATTCGTTACCTTTTTTATACACGGTTTTTATACCTTTTTTATATACGGTTATTTTAAATTACACGGTTATATGTTGATCACAATTACACTAATTTTATATTCACGGTAATATTAATTGAGTAATTACTCAATTACGGTAACTAAATTAAATTAAATTTCCATTCGTTACCTTTTTTACACACGTTTATATTACATTAACATTCGTTACCATTTTAATTACATGGTTATATTAAATTATCATTTTTAGTTGAGCATTCGTTACCTTTTTTATAACGGTTTTTATACCTTTTTCAACCTTTTTTATACACGATTATTTTAATGATCCATTAATTATCATTTAGTAATTACCATATGGAGTGAAGAATTACTATATTCTCTACACCATGAAATGGGCGGGAAAAGAACAATGGAAATCCATGTCTTTTTAAATAATAGATAGATTAGAAAAGACTACATACATAATTATTTTTTATTGAGAACTGATTTGGAAAAATACCTTAATAGAAAGAACTATTTTGAAAATTTACTTAATTTCTTTTTTTAACTTATTTTTAATTATATTATATTAGTTATTTTTAAACTAAATTCAATTTAGTTATGTACACATTTTTTGTTGAATTACAACCATATTTTTTCTAAAGAAATTTTCATAAAAAAGAATAAATTAATAATTTTAAAAACATTTCATATTTTACTTAAAGAATTTTATATATGTGTTAGTGTCTTTTATAATGAATAATTCACTTAATATTTATTGAAAAATTATATTTTTATTTTCATTCATTTACTTAAATTTTCTTTGAATTCAAAGTCCATGACATTTTTGTAATACTACCTCTGTTCCAGAGTATTTGTCTACTTTCATTTTTACACACCATCCAATACACTCCTTTAATCCATTTTATCTCTTAATTTGTATATTAAAAAATTATAGAAATTATATATTAATAATCTATATGTTAAGACAAATCAAACAAGATCACACATGACTATATTTAGGCTTACACATTGAAAGAATTTGATGAGCCAAAGTGATTAAATGAACAGTTTTAAAAGTCAGAAGTTGACGAATACTCCGGGACGAAGGGAGTATAAAATATACTGATTTAAACTAATCAAATATTTATATATCAACTTCTAAAGATTATAATAAACTATTTACTAAAAATGATCAATAAATATTTAAAACATGTCATAGACTCCGTGTTTGTTTCTTTTGTCATGTTATTTAATACTCCCTCCGTTCCTGAGTGTTTGTCCACTTTCATTTTGCACATCATCCAATGCACTTCTTTAATCCATTTTATCTTGTAATTTGTATATTAAAAAATTATGAAAATTATATATTAATAATCTATATGTTAAGACGAATCAAACAAGATCACACATGACTATTTTTAGGCTTATACATTGAGAGAATTTGATGAGTCAAAATGCTTCGATGAACAGTTCCAAAAGTCAAAAGTGGACAAACATTCAGGGATGGACCAAGTATTAAAAAAATAAAAAAATTAGAATGGATATGGGTCACACAAATAATTTTGAATATGATATGTGACAATAATAATGAGCATATTAAAGAAGTAAAAAGAGATTAAAATCGTCAAATAAATGAAATGCGTAGTATAAGTTAAACAAATTTAAAGAAAGTAATTTTTTGTAATATCAAATATATTAGTGCAAACTTATCAAATATATAAATATTAAGTTTTAAAAGTTACCATAAATTATTTGTTTAAAATGGTCAATGATTATTCAAAAGTTACTATATATGAATGCTTTTTTATGAATGATTTTAGATTCAATTAATGTATTCAATCATCATTGACGTGTCAAAAAAATTCAACGTAAGCATTCCACATGTCAAGCTCTGGTGATCCAAGTCCGAAATATTATTTTAAAGGATTTCCGATTGTTTACTCGGATATTACGTGGCGTGCTGACATGTTTAAATTTTGCCACATAGACATGCGAAATGTCAAATTTCTGTGCATCCGAGTCCCCTTTATTATATTAAAGGATTTAATTAAACAAAAATTGATACAAATAACCTAACTTATTTCGATCAACAAAATTATAATCATGAAATATTACAAAATCAAAATAAAAAATATATTATCAATTAATTTATATAGAATTTTAATACGAAGTATTTTATTTATTTAATTGAGTATGACCAAGACTGAATATCTTTATATGGAATGCCGTTTTAGAGATCGGGGACAAAATCAAGGATGAAAGTTAGGATTAATTCTAACCCAATGTACAAGGTAGAAATTGTCTTCTCTGTCTCATAAAACTCAAAAAAACCTACGAAATGTTTTTTTAACAATAAAAAAATGTTGGATTATGTAACAGAAAGGGGAGATGGAGGAGGGCGTGGGATGAAAGAAGATTGATTTTTTTAGATTTTTAAAAGTTAACGGATTTAGATAATTCATAGACTCCTTGCAGAGTTTGGCTAATTTTTTTATTGATTCATATGAATTTTCATACACTTGACCTGACTCTTTTTATTTAAGTGGCTCTCTTGACAAGCTTATACCCTAACCCATCAGGCTCGTTCTAGAACTCGTTTCCCATGATCCCATCCATCGCGATTTTAGTCGGAGAGCCCACAAAATTACCCCATTTTAGAAAGTATAAGAACTTGAATAAAACCTTCAAAATCACCCAGAGAAATCAAACACCAATAACAAATATCCCTAAACCTTCAAAGTTCAAAGTTGTCAGTGATGACTTCTTCCACACAATAGAGATCTCCACAGCACCACTAGTTTCATTCTTCAATAATCCAAAAAAAAATATTTTTTTTATGATCCAACCACCACTCGTAGTGAAATCTGGATTTTCGAAACATCCAATTTATCCCCAACGTCTCTCATCTCGGCCTCCTCTTTGCAGAACTATTCCCGGAGCTGCAATTCTATCTGTGTAATCTCTTTGGGTTCAAAAGCTCTAATTTTTTTCAGTAGAAAATGTGAAATCTGACCGGGTGAGAAGGGATTTTAGGTAGGCATATTTTGAAAAAGAATCCAAGAAAGTCCATGAAGTTTTAAAACTCATAGATTATTGAATACCTAAAGGTTTTTTTAAGAATTTTTACAAAATCATAACCAAGATTCTGGCTAGAAGGATGGCTCCCTTGCTTCCAGATTTTATTGACAAGGCTCAAGGGGCCTTTGTTGAAGGAAGATCTCTTATTGGCAATGTTTTACTTGCCCAACATCTCGTTAGAGACTATGCCATCAAGAGGTCAACCCCTAGTTGTATGATCAAGTTGGACATCTCCAAATCTTTTGATATTGTATCTTGGAACTTCTTATAGGTAGTTATGCTTGGACTTGGCTTTCCTCTCAAATTTGTTGGCCTCATCATGGAATGCATCAATTCAGCTTCATCCTCTATCTCTGTTAATGGGAACACACATGGGTTCTTTAAGATCAGGCGTGGCCTTCGGCAGGGTGACCCTATGGCTCCCACTCTGTTCATTTTCTGCATTGAGTACTTGTCCAGGTTGCTCAACACCAAGACCAAGGAAGGATCCTTTCATTTCCATAAGAATTGCTCAGAGTTGGGTATATCCCATTTGGCTTTTGCAGATGACATTTTGTTATTTGTTAGAGGTGATTTCTCTTCTGTTAAGGTTATGATGGATGCCCTAGATCATTTCTCCAAGGTGTCTGGACTATGCCTCAACCCAACCAAATCTAATATTTTTGTTGCTGGAAAGTATAGGGATGCTAGTCAGGATATCCTCCAATTGGCTAACTTCCCTAGAGGTGAACTTCCTGTCAGGTATCTCGGGCTGCCCTTATCCTCCCATCGTATTTCAGGATCAGATTATGCACCACTCTTCATGAAAATTGACACGTTCCTTGGGAAATGGAGTGCCTTGAAAATTTCTTATGCTGGCAAACTAGAGCTGATTAGAGCAGTGATTCAGGGGGTGGAATCATTTTGGCTCCAAGCCTTCCCAAATCAGAAGACTGTGCTTAACCGTATTACTACTCTATGCAGAGACTTCCTGTGGGGCAGCAAGTTTGCTAAAGTGGCATGGGCTGACATTTGTAAACCCATAAATGAAGGGGGTCTGGGCTTGAGGGATGCTGAAACTTGGAATAATGCTCTTCTGTGTAAAGCCTAATGGAACATTGCTGCGAAAAAGGATTCACTTTGGGTGATTTGGGTTCACACGGTTTATCTGCGCAATGAATGTGTGTGGGTGTGGCAGGAAGAGACACTCTGTCTTCTTTAATTTAAAAGGCTTGCCTATGTGCGAGAGCTTTTGGTACAAAAGCTTGGTGACCATAATTCCTCCTTGGAAGTGGCTATGCAACAGTTTTGTATTGGCGATACTCTCTGTCCGAGTAAGGTTTATGATTTTCTTAGGGACAAGTCCAATATAAAGCCTTGGATGGCTTTCATATGGCATTCTCTAATTCCTCCTAAGTGCTCTTTTACAATGTGGCTAGCGCTTAGGGGGAGACTTCCTACCAAGACCAATTTGGAATTTCTTGGTCTTCCTATGGAGTGTGAGCTTTGTGGTGATGGAGTCGAGGACATTAGCCACCTCTTCTTTGGATGCTGTGTGTCAAAGCAAAATGTGGAGCCATTAGGCATTGGCTACGGATTGATGCCCAACTGACAACCTTGGACAGAGCCATCAGGTGGTTGAGGACGGCTAGACGAGGAGACCCTATCCTGAAGAAGGCACGGAGGATAGGGTTGGCATGCACCATATTCCTCATCTGGAAATAGTGTAATGCCTTCCATTTTGAGCGCAAGCCTCTTAATATTGATGGTGTGATTTGTAATAACAAAACTATGGTTTATTGTGCTTTAGGTCGTGTGTGGCCAAATGTTCATCTTACTTTTTAGTTTGGGTTAGCCTGCGTGCCTTGGTTTTGGGGTTGGTTTTCCCCTTTTATGTATGAGGGTGTCTCGTTGAGGTGCTTGGTGTAGTGGAAGGGTTGCTCCCATTCCTAGCTCGGGTATGGCCGTTCTATTTGTATATTCCTATTCTCTTTCTATTTACATTTTCCACAAAAAAGAATTTTTACAATCTTTATTAAATACCTCATTATTTTTAAAGATTTTAGAAAATCAAGATTGAATACCTCAAAGTTTTAGAAGACTTTTGAAAATTTATTATAAAACAATATGTCTGTAATTATACTTTATATATTACAATATATTTGTTTTAAATATCAAACATTTCATATAATGTAATCAAATCTATTTTTCTGACATTATTGACATTTCATTTTCATTACAACTCATATTTTTGGAATAAAAAACACCAAACTTTATTTTTGTACATTTTTCTATGTTTTACTCTTACTTTAGTCTTTTTCTCTAAACTATTTTGATTTTTAAAACTTTTTATAAAAATTAGAAAAATGAAAAACAAAAATAAATTTTGAAATAAATAAAAATGATAAAAAATGAGTAATAATAAAGGAAAAGGTGAAAGGTTTATATAAATTTAGATTAATAAAATATTTTATGTAACTATTTTATCCATAATTTTTAATACAGTTTAAAATATTGATGCTAGAAAAGATTATACATCGCGCTAAACGAAGCAAATTTTTGATTTTTTCAATTTATTTTATTAAAAAATTGGTATAGAAATAAAAAAACAGACCTATAAAAAAGTTACATCCCAAATTCTATATAACAAAAATTGAAAAAATATTTTATTTTATCAAAAAATCAATAAAAATATAAAATCTAATAAATGTTTCTGTGAATTTTAAATACTGAAATGCACTAATCTTTGTAGAATTGAGTTAGAATTGGATGCACATTTTGATTTACTTCTAGCATTTTTGTATGAATGGACGGGTAGTCCGGGTAGTCCATGAGTACATGTCCACATCGAGCCCACACGTTTCACTATAAACCCTAAAATCTGAATCCTATTTAAAGTCGCTTCTCTTCTCCCTCTCTCCGTAGCTCAATGTATTAACCGCTTTACGTCGTTTCGAAGTGTCCGATCTCCTCCGCGCTCTCCTCCGCCGCTCGTCACGGCGGCGTTCAATTCACTCAATAAGTTTTTTCTGTCAATTCTCTCAAAATTTTCTGGTTTTTGTAGCCGTGATGATATATTCATAATCCCAGCTCATTATGAGACCATTTGTTGGTCAGGGAATAGACTTGTTCTTATCACATCTATCTGAGCTAATCTTATCAAATTTCTTCTTGATTTCTATCTTTTTTTTGTTTCTGTATTTTTAATATTTATTATTTATTTAGTTTATTTTATTTGTTAAATGTGTTATTGTGTTCCCGATGATGCTTATATATTTGACCATGCTAATTCTGATGTTTTCGTGACGGAAAACCCTTGATCGAATTTCTGATGGGAATAATTTCTAAATTATGGCTTTGTTTGGTCCACGCAATTTCTGATGAGAATAATTTCTATATTGTATTTTGTGCACAAAGCTTATTAAGCTTACTGACTTTAAAATGACATCTTTGTAAAAGAGGACTGAAGTTTGTATTGAATTGTACAAACAAAATTTGGAACTAAGGGATTGAGACTTTAATTACCAAATTAAATGCAAAAAATAAATGATTAAATTTTTGTTTTGCTTTTTTTAATCTTGTGAATTCGAGGTGCGTTTCAGGTTTGTTTAGAGCTTTGTCTCTAGTATTTGATTTTCATATTTAGTTATTGAATCAGAAATTGAAATCAAATAATTTTATTCAAGATTTCTTTCAATCCAAATTCTCTGATTGATTTATAAGGATTTTTTCAATTGATTTTTTCAGGATTTCCATTTAATGTCAATTTTTTGATTCGACAAATTGATTTGTAAGGTGCCAATGGCGATGAGTAAAGGCGGCTGTATTGGAACGACACTGGTTTAGGCGTTGTGATGCCACAATGATTGTATTTTGAACCACCTTCCACTTATACCAAAAATTGTATTTTAAACTTACACTAAAGGTATACATGATCATTCTAATTGTTCATATTGGCACAAAATATTAATGTCTTAATAAAAATTTACAAAGATACAAATGTTGGCTTACTAAAAAAAATTGGCATTATCCTTGTAAAAAGGTCAATAAACATATTATGCATCCAAATTACCTTATAGAAACACTCTTGATAATCTAATTTTTTTTAATTAATGCATAGAAGATCGAACAATCATAGGATTATAATTTTATTTATTTTTTTCAATTAGAACAGGAAAGAATGATCAAAATTTTTAAAATCAATACGGGATAAAAGAATCATGTTACTGTTTAAAGATGAATCAGTTTTTAATAATCTAAACTAATATGGGGGATCATGTGCTTTTTTCATCAATTGGGATTGTATAATATTCCATCCGTCTCAAAATATTTGTCACATTTGCTTTTTCAGTGATTGCGGAAACTTTTTTTATTTCCATATCAATATGTAAATGAATTTAAAAAACTTGATATTTTAAATTCACGGACGGAGGGAGTAGTTAATTTGTGGACGTAAACAAATGTTCATGATTCTTAAACCACAGTAATTTTAATTTAAACAAAGTTATATCCACTTTGTTATTGACAAAAATTAAGCAACAATTTGAATTGTGTATAGTATAAGGCAATCATTAAAGAGTTGTAAAAAATTATTTTTGACACAATTGTAATATTAGGAAACAAAGTCATAGAAAACGTTTAAATAACCTAAATTAAATAAATTATGCACCATTTCAGTGATTTCATACAAGACTTAGAAGGAATATAATTTTTAATATTTTTTATATTTTGTTATGATTATAAACAAAGTTATGAACAAATATTGTCATCTTTACAACAAACTTTTACTATTGTTTTGCAAGTGAAGTAATTAAATGTAGCATTAAAAAAACTTATATAGCTCAAAACTTTTCAAAATGTTTAAATTAAAAAAAAACTTTGACACTTAAATTTCAAATATAAATTGTAGAAATTTTATTCGTGAGTTTTATACATCTTATCATTATTTTAACTTTTAAGGTTGATATTTTATTTTTTTTTAATATTTGAAAAAAGATGTGAAGAAAAATTATAGAATCAGGAAACAAATTTGTTTTGCCCCGTGCATGGCCACAAGTTAAAACAAACATTTTCATAATCAAGCATTGAAGTTATTAATCAATGGTAAAGAATTTATTTAAGATATAAAAGAGGCTACTGAGTTAAGTTTTCGAAGTGAGCTAAGAAAGTTGCTAGTCACATTATTAGTGACAGATACCATGAGTCGTTTGAGAAAAATCATGGGAGTTCTTATTTGATGAGATTTTATTTGAGTGATGAAGAATAATGCATATATAATCAAGATATTTTTATAAAAAGGTAAATTTTTATTATTTATATAAAGATCAATATGAAATGCATGATACACACACACACACACAAACTCTTGAATCGAAATATGGTTGAAATGATTTAGTCGCATTTTAACCATTTTTGAAGAACTTCTTATTTTCATAGAAGTTCTTAAAAAATTGTGTTTGATTGAGATTGAAAAATTACTTAATTCAAATAGACGATCCTTATATGAATCTAGTGGTATGTCATTCGAAGATAACAATCCACTTAATAGATTTCAAAATAATTTCTTGGTAGAAGAGTTGAACTATGACAAAGAAAAATTATCATATGATCTTAAACAATATATATTTACAATGAATGAAAATAAGAGGAAGATATATGACGGTGAACGTTTTATGTTTTGTTATGACTATGGATAAAAGCCAATGTCAAATATTATCATTTGTTAGATTATCTTAAACTAGGTTGAAGTTCACTCATAGTTAACTTTATATCAATGTTTCACGAAGACTTTTAAAAAAAATATGAATTTTAAAGATTTTGAGGTATTTGCTTTTGAATTTATGTATAAGCATTTTCATAATCAATTAATAAATGCTAAATTATTTGTTTTACTTTGATTTTAATGTCTACAGTGTTAAAGAACGCATTACATATATGTTCATACTCATTTAAAAATATTAGATTGAAGATAATTAAAAAATCAATAAACATTTCGTTCAACTCCGTGCGTGGCTCATGTTAAGATACTAGTGTGTGTGTGTGTGTGTGTGTATATATATATATATATATATATATATATATATATATATATTTGATGGGTGTATTCCCACGCAATACCCAGTCCAGAACAAGTGCTACGATAACCAGGCGGGCGGGTCTAGGAAGAGCCCATTAGAAAGAAATCAGGATGAGCATAGATCTGACCAGGTTGGTACGCCGAACCACCCGGGTGGTTTGGCACCCATGACGTTACCGGTCGGGGAACAAGTCTTGATGGAGAAATTCTTTATTAACCAACCCGGCATCCTTTCTAAGGAACCACCTGGGTGCATCATTTGAACGTGTACGATCCATCAGCTAGACATACTTGGAAAGTAGCGTTTGGAAGAAATTTGATTGGACCAGATCCCCTGCACCAACGATATATCTAGACATCTAGGCCAAGCGCTACAAGCCAAGATGACAATTACAAGGCACAACTGGAAGATTACATAAACGAGGGCTACAAGAGAAAGCATGTCTGGCTTGCACATGGCCAGACATGGGTGTCTGACACCCTGCCCCTTAGCTTTGCTATATATACCCTTGTAACCCCAGTAGAAGGGATTCGAATTTTATCCATATAGAGCATATTGTATAATTTCTTCCTTGTATTCTCCATATACTAAATAACAATTAGACTACAGTCTACAGCTGTTCCCACCTACAGTCCTCCCAGTCAAACTTAATTTATTGAGTCCTTTCAGTATCTAAACTCAATAATCCATCCTAGACTCGGTGTAGAATAGTTTACTCAGGTGGTAATTTACACCATTAATTTTTATTCTTAATTTAGGTTATTTATTTAAATATGATCGTAGTAAGTTTACAAATTAGTCTATGTACGTACACCGCCACTAGTATAAAAAGTAAGAAGTTAGTCAATCTCCGTCCCTAAATATTTGTCACACTTGTATTCTCGAGGTAAAATATCAAGTTCTTTCAATTCATTTTATTTACATATTGGTATAGAAATAAAAAATAAAATTTACATATAAAAAAACTACATGAAAAATTCTTCGAAATAAGAAGTGTCAAGAATATTTTATTTTATAAAATAACCAATGAAAACGTAGAAATAAATAAAAGTTCTGGCAAATATTTTGGAACTTGGAGGAGTGTATAAAAAAACTAGAGAATCAGGTGCTTTCTGCTTAGCTTTTAAAAGTTCTATGGGTTTTCAAAAACAGAGTGATGCTCTCACCTGGAGAAGCTCCACCCCACGCTGTCAAATCCACACGTTGAAGCCTCTCAATCCTTAACCGTTTCATGCTTTGAAATCCCATCTGAGTGCTTCAGTGTGTATTTGCCCCCATAGCAGTATATTTCAGAGCTTCAAGCCAAGAATGTCAGCTTTTCATGGAGCTGCCTCTGTGAGGAGCTCAAGTGAGATACCCGAGGAGGAAACAGTCAGAATCTCTCTAGATCTTGTGGCTGCTGCTAGGAGGAATCTAGGGTTCCTCAATTTCATAGCAGAATCTCTCTGCCTCCATCAAACTACTGCCCTACTTGAATCCATTAGAAGGTTTTGAAAAGATTCATGTTTCCTAACGCAATTTGGTCCAAAAATAGAGTTCTATCTGAACAAAACAATAAAATTTTCATTGTATTTGATGTGAAACTTAGTTGAAACTTTTTTTTTCCAATTATAGCTATATATTGAGATGATTTTTTATTTTCATTTTGGTAGCGTATGACAACGAAATTGAACTATTTTTATGGGTAGGAGAGGGTAGTTTTTTTTGTTTGTTTGTTTACAGATGGTTTGTTCTGAACTATGTGCAGATATGATCAGCTATGGATGCCCTTGATATGTGATGTCACGAACAGGTCGGAGCCTCCCATGATTCTTCCTCCACCTGATATAGAATGGGTTTGGTTTTGTCACTCCTTAAACCATGTAAGTTGTGGAAAAATACTAAAATCTTTAATCTGGATTTGATTTGTTTGAAAGACTTGGAAAGTAAAAGAAAGTTATGCAGTGATTATGTACATGGGCTGAAATGAGAACTAATATTAGGAAAATGATGAACTCACTATCCCAGATGAAGCTAGTTAGAGGTGTAAAGTATAATAGAATTTAGGTAGTGATTAAAAAGTTTCGAGCTTTCCTACTTTCCATTTTAATTTTTTCCCATGAAATTCTAATTATTTATCCCTAATTTATGTTACCATTTGTTTTTTCACAGAGTTTAAGTACCGTATGATTGAAATTAATGTGGAGGTGAAAGAAATGATATGAACGGCATAAATTCTTAGGAAATGGGAATTTAAATTTGGGATTTGGATTAGTATAGATGGAAAATGGTTCAATACTCAATGTAAAAGAGCTAAAAGATTTGTGCGGAGTACGTATCTTTGTATTATATACTAAGTCAACGTGTTATGTTCGATATGCATTTGTATAACATTTGATTTCAATTAGTTGGATAGTAGTGTTTGATTGTTCCATAGTGCTTTGATATAGAAATTTTAATTTTAGGTCAGCTATAGACAGTATTGCGAGTCAAGATTCTCAAAAATCATTGGCAAGGCGGCCATATTTGATGAAGAGAATGAAGAATATGCAGTGAATAGATGCAGAGAAATCTGGGTTTGTAGGTACCCAAACGAGCCTTTTGAGAATGAATGTGAGTCGAGCACGGGGAATCCAATATCCGCTGTTCAGGAAGATCTTTTGGAGGCAGTATCCAAGCAGAGGTTTTTGTACGCTAAATTTAGGGAGCCTTATTACTCAGAGATTGTTCATCTGATAGCAGCAGGGCAACGGTATAAAGGGTTTTTGTATATGGTGCATAGATTTGCCGATAACTTCTCCAGATTAGTGCCATCTTCAGACATTCTCTTAATGTGGTTGATCCATCAGGTATTTCATTTCTTTATTGTTCATGTGTATTATTGGTTTGCTGATATCTGCACTCATTAATTCTTTTATTCATTAAAAATTGAAAGAAAAATTAGCTGTTTGCCTGTTTCTCCCTCACATGCCATGTTCCAAGAATGAAATATTGAAATGGGAGGGTGGGGGCCATTATCGAGAATTGAGTATTCAAGCATATATATATATATATATGTATGTATGTATGTATGTATGTATGTATGGTTTGTTTAGAGCAATAAAGAATATGTGCTAGGTGTTTCCCCATTTGCCTTATCTTGGAAAAGGATAATGTAAATTATATTATGCCATACCAGTTGTGTTGGAATTGGTTTGTTTATCTTTCATTGAGTGGGGTCTCAACAAATAAATACTAAAGAATAACTTAATTGATACCCCAATAGTAAAGCACTTGTTAGGCTGTTAATTAACACATCCTCTACCTGTTTTTTTTCCAAATTAATAGTTGTATTCTTATATATACTCTACGGCCTGCACACATATATAATAACAGTGGGATATGTTAAGTTACCAACGATTTGGTAAAATTTGCCTTTTTAAGTTGACCCAAATTATTCGCAAAAATACTCATGTACTTTTAGAAAAAAACAGTTTTTTTGTTGTTTATTTTTTGTTTTTTCGTCTATTTTTTCTAAATTTAATACTCCGTATATTCAAATAGGTTGAATATATTTTAATATAAATATTTTGATATGAATTTTTAAATATAAAAACAACTATGTGGATTAGCATGTGTGAGTTTTATTGAAAAAGAGATTAAATAATAAATAAAGGCACTACAAGAGTGCAGGTATTTAAATGTGGTTAAAAGAAGACATACGGAGTAAAAGTGAAGTAATCGTGTCGAAAACTCAAAATGCACTATTTACTGATCAAGCTAATGAGTTATCATATAATGTGTCTAAAATTGTTTACAACCTGATGTTAAATTTATTGATTTACATGTCATATAATAAGAATAATTCTATACATACAGAGTACTACCGTATTGTATACGTATTTAAAAAGCTACAAATGCTTTGCTGGATTGTTAGTTGTTTCGAATCCCATTATCCCAATTCGCCGAATTATACCAGAACAATTTTTTTTCCCTCATGATTGTTGTCTCGAGTTTGACTAACATATGTTTGACCATTCATATGATTTAAAAGATATACTCCCCCCGTCACATAAAGAGTCTGATTATCAAGGTATAACCTTTTAATTTTGAGTAAGGCACAATCATTGTCAAAAACACAAAAACTAGCTTCTTTTTCATTAAGCATGATTTTTTTATAAGACAGAAGTATAATATTGCCTTATGGGAATATTATTCACCAGTTTATTCAGATTGTTGGGGGGGGGGTCCTTGAGAGCTGTAACTCTTCTACAAAAACTCCTTAGACTCATCCATTGACAATGTTTTACTTGACTGGAGTGCCGTCCATTAGCTCTGGCCCTGTGATATAACATGGTTAGACTTGATGGGTGCCGTCCACAACTCTTATTTAGTAGTCTAAATTTTGCACTGTATTAAAAAGACGTTAAAGTTTGAGATGTCAATTTTTTTCTAAGACTTGATGGCCTTTTCGCTGGCCCCTACAACAACGCATGGTACATTGACAGAGTTTTGATTTCATTTAGTAGAGCTATCCAACAGTGTATGCGTATGATACCAAGGAGATAGTAGACGAGCTTAATAAAGTAGTGGGCACATGGGAAGCCGCGAATGAAGTAGAGATAGAAGAAACGAAGAAACTTTGGGAGAGAATATTTGAACAACCGTATGAGAGAGCTGGTGGTGAGATAGCCATTGCCAACGATTTTAATAAGGTCAGCCCACTTGTGCAATGGGAAGTTCTTGTGACCGATGTCAACACCAAATATAAGTCCTTGCTACCCAGATTCCTACTAGAGGTCAGTTTGATCCTACATTCCTACCTTTATGTTATGAATATAGGGTTTAATATTTAATTAGTTATTATTATTATTATTATTATTATTATTATTAAAAAGTTATAGGTTCCTATTAGCATTACTATTCTGTTTTAGTTTATATTCTTGATAGCAATATTGTATTAGACTGTTAGGTTAGAAATCTATATATTAGAGGGCTTATAGAGTGGAGTTATATTCATTAATAAAATCATCATTGAAGCAATTAAACAACAAACAACAACATTACCCCAAAGCCTCAAAGGCTCCCCTGCCAAACGGCTGTTTCCAGATGGCCCATGACGAGCGTTTAAGGGGTCCGTTTTGGTTTATTCCATCATACCGTGAAGCCAAAAAACAGTGAATCTTTGGCTTCATTGGAGATGATGGAAAGACCGAAAGACATTGAAGCAATTAAACCACTCTTCCTAATTAGTCATGAGATATAGGATTTGAAGTTCTTCATGTTCTAGCCATGGGCAATATAGGGGTTCTTTTTCTATCTCAGGGATCTCTTCGGTTCCCTAATGCTTTAGCACACTATCCTCAAGAGCTTTGAAAACTGACAATTTTGCCTAATCTGGTGGAGTATATTTTAGTGAAAAAAATGCATTTTTGTTGTAATGTTTTTTGGGCAATTTTTGCTTAATTAGTCCTGTTGTAATGTTTTTTGGGCAATTTACGCTTATTTCTTTCCAAAAACATTGACCGATACAATATTCACTTTTCTTTTTTCTAACTTGCATTACTACTAGTAGTTACCTAATTAAGCATCGTGGACTGAATGATGGAATAATCTTGTTTCGTTGCTGCAGCTCTGTGTGATGGTGAAACTGAGAACTAAAACACCGCAATGCAACATGTTGAAAGAGTTTCTACGAGTTGGATGTGTGAGATCCCACAAGGAGCTGAAATTAGATACACCCTTATCCAACTTCAGCTCCCAAACATGGCAGAAAGCCTTTCATCTCTACTGTGAGTTTGGAACCAAAGGGACGAGGCTTGAGCTTCGTAAACGATCCTTCATTAAGAGGGGGAGTAGCCTGACAGAAGAGGCTGCAACATTTCTTTGGAATGATTTGTTGCGTTCGCGCACTCTTTCTCTGGTAAAAGAGTTTGACAAGAAAGTAAGGGTAGTTGCTTCAATCACTCCACCTGTTCAGGCACCATACTTGTTGAAGTGTGTCCCGGATCGAGTAACAGATGATTCAGGGGCAATGATATCAGATGTTATTTTGAAGATGAACCATTATCGTCCCCAAGAAGGCAGATGGTTGTCCCGCACTGTTTTAGATCATGCGGGCAGGGAGTGTTTCGTCATTCGAATAAGGTACTGAGAATTATGAGATTTCAACCCATAACCAATTGGCAATGGGCAGAGTAACTCATATTCTTATACTCCCTCCATCCCAAAATCTCTTTCTCCTTTTGACTTTTATGGAATTTAAGGGAGGGATATTTTTATTTGACTTTCCCAAATTACCCTTGATGTGATGAGTAGATTAGTAGTGAATAGACATGATGTGATAGGTAGGGTAATTATCAGTATGGGTAAAAGTGACTTTTTAATAGAAAGTCGAAATTCTTTTTGGGACAGAAAAGATGAAAGAAGAAAATCTTTCGATATGGGATTTATTTACATTTCATTTTTTTTAGCTTGGGCGTTATTTCTTTCAAACATCAATGTAGGATAGGGGGAGGGTTCTGGAGGAGAGGAGCTGAAAGGCCTTCAGCTGTGAAATGGGAGGAGAGGATTATAGAAGTACGCGAAGGCTACTGGTCATATGTCGCGGATTCCATTGGCAAAGCTCCTGGTATGCAAGTGATAAATGAATCAAGCCTAAAGTTTTTTTTCTCTCTCTCTCTCTATCATCCCTAATTGATTGCGCCGTGCATCTGCATCTAGTGCAGTGAAAATTTTGGGGACGGCGACCCCAAAAGAGGCGCCTGAAGGATGTCATGCATTATGGAACTTCTCCACAGGGGAAGAGCTGTCAGTACAACACGGATTGCCAAATAACGATTCGGGATTCACTTTTTGTCTCACAAACCAGCAGTCTCAATATTCAAAGGTATATCATATGTGTCTATGTGCCAAAGTGAACCTCCCACATTTCTTTATATGTACTCCATTTCTTTTGTTTGTAGTGTGTTGTGTGTTCTTCATTTCTTTTGTTTATACTCCCTCTGACTCTCTCTTTCACATGAGAAAAAGTTTCGCTAGACTTTCTCTCTCCTCTGCGCTGCTCTGCTTTCTCCCGTTGTAGCTTGTAACGGCTCTTCCTCGGAATAGTCGCCGGCGCGTCGACCCTCTGCGTTCGTCCCTCCTGCCGGCGGTGTAGACAGTCATCGGACGGCGGCGGGCGGCGGCGGACGACGGCTAGGAGCACAGGTAAGTACACATCCACCCCCACCCCACCCCTTCTCCAGACCTAACACTCTCAGATCCGACCCAAATCCGACCCTAGACGCCAACCCCTGCCGGTCACCGCCGACCCCCCTTACCCCAGACCCGGAACCTAGCC